GCTTCATCACTCTTCAGGGAACTTAATTAGCGACCAAACAGTCAGAAACCGCTTGCATGAAGTGAACCTTCATTCCCGAAGACCGCTACGGGTACCACCTATAGCAATGCACAATCGTAGGATTCGATATCAATGGGCTCTTGAACACAGAAATTGGGCAGAAGAACAATGGCGTTTCGTGTGCTTTTCTGATGAGTCTCGTTTTGGTATGAGACCGGATACAAGACGTATACGACACTGGAGAACCCCTGGACGCCAACAGCGATTAAAATCCTGCCAGGAAGTCCATCCTTATAGTGGTGGAACCATCATGGCATGGGCGGGTATTTGGATCGGCGGAAGAACTGAGTTGATTTGGATCAGAGGCAACCTCAACGCTCAAATTTATGCTGAGACGATTGTATCAGACGTCATCGTTCCTCTACAAGTGCAAATCGGTCCCTTATTTCAGTTAATGCATGATAATGCACGACCGCACACCGCAAGAGTTGTAAGACAGACTCTCGCCGCAGCTAACATCAATGTCCTGCCCTGGCCTGCTCAGTCGCCAGACTTGAACCCGATTGAGCATGCATGGGATATGCTACAGAGAAGAGCTCTGCCGAATATGGAGGGTATCCAGTCGCAAGAAGACCTTTTTTTGTTGTTGCAACGAACATGGGCGGCCATTCCACAGCGTGATTTGGATGAACTCATTTTGAGTATGCCAAACCGATGTTCTTGTGTTGTTAGTGTTCGCGGTAGAAATACGGATTATTAATTGTTTAAGTTACCCAATAAAATTTTAGAGAAAACTGTTATTTCAGTCTTTTTTTCGAACTTTTGTGTTAGTGGTTCAAATGTCAAAAATCCCTTTATTAGGAAAATGGCAAATTTCTTTATTAATGCAAAGGTGACTTGGTTTATCGTTACTGTGACAAACGAAAACACTTTATTTGATGAATCCTTAAAGAAAATTTTAATTAATATCAATCAGGAGAAAAGTTATTGCAAAAATATATGTTGATCCCTAGACACTTTTGATGTGTGTATTTTAGTCGAATATTTTCTTAATATTCTTCCGCAGTCTTCCGGATATAGTATTTTATGGCATTCTATATTTAGGGACTTGTCTATATCATATAGTAGGTCAAGGGTAGTCATATTTTTTTATAAAAAATTAAGGATATTAATAATAAATGAATGAATGCCAGACGATTTCTTAATATGAAGAGTACATCCCTATAGCCAGATGTGTAAAAAATAGTGAAGCAACGTATATGTAAGCTTGTTTCAATACTAAAAGAATCTCCCATGTTTTTTCTCAAAATGTTGTTTTTGTACGTAAATGCGTTAACTACTTGTGTCAAATACCCATTTTTGTGAACTGTATGCGAGTAGAAGCATCCCGTGCAGAATGTTTGCAAGGAATTTGGTGTATATTTGTAAGGATTGTGTGTGCATTGTGTGTTATTAATTATTAAACAATTATTGATATAAAAACTGAGAAATAGTAAATAAGAGTAAAAATATGCTGTTATAAAACCTATCTTACTACTGTTGCGGATGTTCTTGTTGGCCCGATAACTTTTCCAAGTCTGCAAAATCTTTGATTTTAATAGGAGGACTTCCATCTCGACCCTCCCGTTTTCTGACGTAGACGATGCCATTCCGCACCCAACAGTACTTGTACTCATTTTCACGAGCCCAGATTCGTGTGGCACGAAAAAGATGACGGCTTTCATATGTAAGTCTCTCGTTTACGTACACTTTTCTTTCTGGTCCCGTGCCTGTAATTTCAGAGCTATCTAAGGTACGTCGAGCTTTGGCTTGTTTAAGGAATTCGTCTCGCTTTGATTTTCTTGTAAACGATGCTACCAAAGGGCGCGGCAATTGATTATCCGTTGCTGTATCTTCCGCTCGTCGGCCTACACGGGACACATAATCCAGGTCACAGTCATCCAGCTCCACTCCCACTTTGATTGCCGTTGTTAGGATGAGATGGTAAGGGTTCTCACTGGGTGTTTCCGTCAAACCCAAAATTTCTATCTCCGACCGTACTGCTTTTTGATTTTGCTTATTTAGCTGATCTTGAAGTTGAGCGATTTGTACTTTGAGATTTTCATTTTCTCGTTCCCTTTCTTCTAGCATTCTAATGCGTGTATCATATTCAATAAATATGGCAGAGAGGTCGTCAAAACGCTTACTGAATTCCGTCTTCATATTTGCCATATCTTGTCGAAGTGATCGAATTTCGGCGATTAGTTCCGTATTGGCATTGTTTGGAATGGATGAATTTCCTTCAAAATCTATGGTGACATTTGTTTTTTTTGCGGTGAGTGACATTTTCATTTAACCGTATAGGTGTGTTAGTATTATCACCCCCTTTTTTAGTAGCAGCGCAACAATCAGGGCATATCCAAGTCTCTTTCTGTTGCAAAGTCAGTTTGTTAAGGTTTGCGCAAGTTAAATGTAACGTTTTGTTGCAAGATTTCGAAGAGCAAGAGACACAATCTTCCTTTGAAATAATTTTGAGACACCCTGCGCATTTCATGTCGACTTTTACAATGATGGTGGTAGCCTTCTGCACAAAGTACGCTCTGATCGACAATATCCCAGAAATGGGTAATATTTTTGTGGAGCGGCAACACTGTATCGATGTCAAAATCAAAATTTCTTTCGTCAGTTGAGTTTGACACTATCATTCAAAACAAATGTAGGTAGATCAGAAAAATAAATAAAAGGTAGTGAGCATAGAATTCACTTTTACATAAAAATCACAAAATAATACCAATCTCCTCCCTGATACTCATGTGCCTCAGTTATTGTCTCGCACTCTTGATAGCGATAATATTGTGTTGGCAATTGTGTAATATCGTAATGTAGAAAGACGAAGTTAAGTTGTTGTGATGTTTTGAGAATGCGATGTAAGTACCTCAAAGATGAAAATAACTCGTCGTTTAGAGATCCTCAAGATGCGAGATGATGATTTTGGATGAAACTAACAACTGATAGTGCAAATATTTAAATTTTCACAGTAATTTGTTATAAGGCAATGTATAAGCAGTTGACACTTTTTTTTTTCAACAACATCACTGTAATGTAAATTAACTTTAACGTCACTAAAACAGCATAAAATTAATTGAAAACCAACAGAACAATTGACGACAGCCGTTTAATTGGAACAAACTGAAATGACCCAAACAAAAAAATAGCATACTGTAACTGAGACAAAAAGTTATTAACTATATCAGTTGCTCTGAGTTTAATAAGATAAGTGTGTGTGTGTGTGTCTTACGCATTTCCTGTCAATTAAGTGCCCGCTCTATAGTTTATTCTTTCTCTACGAAATGACATGAACGAAAGAAATTAATAAAGCCGGCCAAGTACTTATCGTGCCACGCGCAGTGTAGGGTTCCGTAGATATTTTATTGTGGTTTTTTATAATTTAAAAAAAAATATTAGGTAAAAAAAATCTAATAACTAAGTTGAACGACCATTACTATTAAACTAACTGATCTATCTTAACCATCATAATTTTCTTTGAAAGTTCATGAAAAGCACTATTATCATTTTTTCAGTTTTTCAGATTTTTTAAGCCAATAGTTTTAAGAAGTTCGGGGGGCCTACTCGAAATAAAATTTGCACTTTAAGGTTTAATATTACAAATAACTCTAAATCCAAAAAAAGTCTTAGCAACCCGTAATTCATTTTAAAGTACCTATCCAACGATACCCTACACGATGAAAAAAGAATCACCCCCACTTTATATGTAGGGGAACTATCCTAAAAAAAGGGATTTTTTCCAAATTTATATGAGACCAAGTTCGAAGTATACTATTTCCAATAAAAACAGAATTATCAAAATCGGACTACTTTGTATGCATGCGTAATCATACATCACAAAAAATACGCGTCGAATTGATAATTTTTTTCGTCGGTTAGAAACTACAATTATTGTTATTTCTTCTTTCGGATGTTTGATATTTATAATGGCCTGCGCAGACGGGGGACTTTCGTCCACGCAGGAGAATAGTGAATCGTGTAAAAAAAGTCCGCCGTCGAGGACTTGTCACGGACTCAACGCACCTTTAAGAAAAAGATAAGATGTTTCAAGGAAAATACTGGGTTCATTTCATTAAATCGGAGCGAACGCGCAACGCGGGCTAAAGTTCGTTGTGTTTGTTGCTGCGCACATGAGTTCTTTTTTTTTCGGTCAAACCCAAGAACTCTTGTTCAGTTCGGTCTCTCGATGTCCTCGGTTATTCGGAAGACTTTTTTTAAGCGGTACTTTACGTAGCGTGTGCGTCAATCGATGCAGCTGCAAGCGATCTATTTTGGCGGACAAAATGTCCGTGTACAAAAGTCCCTTGTCTGCGCAGGCCATTAAAAGTATCTCATTTAACATTTTTATTCGCTTACATTGTGGGGAGGTGACGCTGCCTTGCAGAATAGGTACTAGAACAAATTTGGTCTTTGTAGCGGTCAATGGTTTCACTTGGATAGCGAATAACGTTAGTCCGATTGTAGTATGATAACTGAGCCGAGTTTAATTTTATAGATATAAAAATATAGAAAAATGCTTATAAAATAAAAACATGACTGTAATTGCTATTTCTTCTTTTAAATGTTTAATACTTGTAAAAGTATTCATTTGACATTGTGGGTTTTCACAATGCGAAGAGATGCTGCTGCATTGCAGCCTAAGGCTAGAAAAAATTCGACACGGCCGTCGGGGCCGCGATAGCATAATGGTCAGTGCATTCGCCCGGATAGCAAAGGGTGCGGGTTCGAGTCCCGTCTGCTGCCTGGTCCGCGTGGAATTGTTGCTAGTAAACTTTTGTTTAGATTTAAACATCTAGCAGTTAAATATATAAAAGTATTAAAAACTACATCTTGAACTCGTTGAAACAGTATTTTATTAAATGAGTAGAGTGCGTGAAAATATAAGAAATAAAAAGCGGTTAAATGCTTAAATAAAAATAAAATCTATTCTTAAACATAATTTTTTTGGCCCACAGATCACAATCTACGCGGGATATGCAGTGCTAGCTTTCCTAGCATCATTCGCTATCTCCATGGCGTTCGAGGCACCGGCAGTTCGAATCATCAAGATCTTCAGTGGAGGCAACACACGAAAAGAACACTGATGTTAATTTGTTGACAAAACAGCTCAGCTCAACAAAGAAAAAAGGCATGGTCGTGCCTTTCCGTCTTAGTGTATTTCTAGGATTCTTCACTACATTCCCCATTAAGACCAAATTAAAAAACCAACTAAGGATCTGATTATTGTCCATTATGCGGTCGTAAATTATTCGTATGTAAAGTCTTATAACTTGTAGAATCACGAATAAATTAGAAGTAATAAAATGTTCCCTATTGGGTACGAAAACGATAAAGGTCTGTACACAAAGTATATAAGATATCGGATCAGCGCTGTATCCTCTAGCTGAAGCGATGCGATAAAAAAAAACCGTTGCATTAGTGAGCAATGTATCTAAGAATTTCATACGCATAATACTGAACGGCTCCATTTGATCAGTTTTTATGTGTCCCAAACTTCAATTGACACACAATATTTCCAAATGAAGTAATAGGTACTATATAATTGTAGCTGCATTTTTGCTATCTGAACACACTTCGAAATGTCTCAGGCAAATATAATTTCAATGCAGAGTTGTTACTAAATACTTAATACTCCCAAAGAGTTAGGTACTTTATCAAAACGGTAAGTAATATATTGCTATCCATAAGCAGGTATGCCTCATTAGCCTACATTTTACACATATCATTCATACATGTTGATGAGTAAGGATCCTACAACGGCCACACGAGGTAACGGATTGAGTTCAGGTCAGCAAGGTAAGAATGGTTTAAGCGACAAATCTGTTCGAATATGCTATCTTCTCAACTTAACTCCGCTGAAATTATTGGCGATAATTTGCTTCACAAAATAAGGCCAAAACAAAACGTAATTTTATAAAGATGGAACTCTGTAAGCTAGTTGACAACGCTCAACCTTTCATAAATGAAGGGTTTGCTCATCCTTTTCAAGCGTTTCAACAAGCATCATTAAAATTAACTGTTGGACCTAAGTTATGTGAACGATCCACGTGCACGATAAATAAACACTTTGTTAAGTAATTTTTATAATGACTCACTTTGATGGATATCCCCAAAAAGTTATATCAATTATTTAATTTGAATCTAGAAAATAATAATTGTGAAACAACAAGTAACAATTACCCTAATAAATATACTTCGGTATACCCTTGAAAGGAATACCCTTGAAACAATATGCACCTAGAACGTTTTTCTTGCAGGACAATAAAGTATTGACCAATCATCCCGATTTCAAGAGTCGCTTTTAAATCCCTTGTGAATAATCAGCGATATTTTCAATGGAAACTCTTACGAGCATTTTCCAAAGATTTATAGAGTCGATTAACCGTTTGAGCACGGTTGAGTGCTGACCAAATATGTGGGATTCTTTTTTAAAGGCATCGTAAACTGCCACGATGCGACTTCTTTGTCATAAAATTTCGCTTTCTACTATTGCAAGCTAAACTCAAAACTGAGCGCCACTTGCAGCAACATTAATAACATTAAAATCAAAAGGGATGATGACGGGGTTAAGTAAACGAAATTTTATTTAGTCCGTCAGTTAGGATATTAAAAAATAATGAGCACTTTTTTTTTCATTTGAAAGATAAAGCGCTTTAAAGTTTGGGAATGGGGGCTCGTGGCGTCACTACTAAGCAATAATTGTACCAAGACGTGACGTCATGCGACTTTTCAAATTAACATATCTCTGTAATGTTTTGTTTATGTGAATAAAGAATAGTACGTGTCCAATATTTTTTTATAATCTACCTTATAGACGAAGAAAAAAAATAGTCATCATATCTATTCATCAGGCTTAATTCTGTTCTATTTTTGACAGTTGTTAAGTAAAATAGAGATAAAAGAGGTTTAAACACGATAAGCTTTAAAAAATTGAGAACTTGGGTTCAAGTGTGCCTGGGTATGTTTAGAATATAAAGAATATATGAAATAAAAACATTTGCATTCAACAAAATACCTTTACAGAGAAAAATAAATAAAAATGTATCCAAATTAAATTTTAAGCTTACATAATATCAATAGTTGACAAACTTTTTACACTTCTGAGTGTGTTCTCTTAATTAATCAATAGTGCCCTTGGCAATAATTATGTAAATAGCTAAGTTAGTTAATAAGGTTACCGAAATGTTACCATTGTAAATAATTAATAAGTTCAATAAAATAGATACTATTTAAACAGAAACAGAGTTTCATTTTATTTCTTCATTTATGTTACTAATTAATTAGTATTTACTATTAGCTGGTTTTCCAGATTGGAGTCCAGTTTGTTTTTCTTTGTTTTTTTACACCTTTTTAACCATCTTCATCATCATCAGCGTTTTAAAGTCCCCGCTGCTGGGGCACAGATGTCCTTATGAATTGCATAACGCTAAGACCAACCACGCGGACCCAATGCGGATTGATGGGTGCTAACAACTTCAGATGCAGCCGGGACCAACACTTTAAAGTGCCTTCCAAAGCACGGAGGAGCGCGAGATAGTAAGTCACCCATCCTATGACCAGCCTTTGCAAAAATTGCTTAATTTCCATAATATCAGACCGAATGCGCTAACCACCTGCGCCTTTGAGCTCCACACTTTTTATATATTACCTTTTCATAATCTGTGTGTAACACGTTAAGCAACGCAGTAAAATCTGAAATAAATTAAAGGCGTGCACTCATGCCGACACCGTATTTAGAACACTTTTTCGCTCTCTTTCTGAGCAAACAGCCATTATATTTCATTGTCTTCCACATTCAAAACAGGCGCTTTTGCAAAAACACCAACCCGCTTTCAAATAAAAAGCAGAACCATTTTAAACAGAATTTCTCTATGATAATAAAGTAGGTATCTTGTATATTTACTTTGACGTGGTGGTAATAACTTCTGGCAAAAATGGGTAAGTAGTAATCAAGTATCGGAATTTTTGCTGTCTACATAATAGATATTGTGACTTCAAACTAGTACTGCAACATTAGCCACTATAACTGGATACCAGTTGAAATTCTAGATGTGTATAATCTAGTTTTGTTCCTCTTCTATTGCAATTAATTGCATTAAGGAAACTCCTACATGTGAATAAACAAACAATCAGAGTACGCACACGAAATCGATGAACTGTCAAAAAGAAGCCTACGTCATTGTCAGTAAGTAATCTGAAGTTAGTTCATTATTATAATCCTATTATCAGGTAGATTATCAAAAAATATTGCACACGTACTTTTTATTTTTTCACATTATATAAAAAATACAGAAATTATAGCTATTACTGGGATTGTTACCATGTACCTAGTTTCTTATGAGTCAAGCGCAATAAAAGACGACGTCGGAGGGTAGATCGATATGTCTGCCAATAACATCTACCCGCAATTACTTCAGTTACTCCGTGATCATGCCGTTTGCAACAGTGCCGAAATATCGAAGACTCATAAAACTCAAGGTACATGGTAGCAATCCCGTTAACAACTATAATGTTAGTGACTATGAAAGTTATAACGTTACAGAGATTGATTTGAAATATCGCTTGACGACACATATTGGTACAATTTTTAACCTAGATGTGACGTCACGGACCCCCACTCCAAAACTTGACGCGCTTTATCTTTGTCATTTTATGGAAAAGAAAAAATTAGCGTTTATATTTTTTGATAATCTAACTGATGGATTAAATAGAATTTTGGTTACTTTACCTCGTCATCATTCCTATTTTCCCACTACTGGGGCACAGACCTTCCCTACGGAAGGATAGGAAATGGGAATAAAAAGAGAAATCGAGCAGTAACCCACCACGTCGGTTCAGTGCGGAGGGTGTTTGACTTTGATTTGACCATCCATGTTTCCTCCCAGGCGGGGGAGAGGGTGAGAAATCCATCATGGATACCCTACAGCCGGCTGTAAGGTTATGTCAGACTCCTACTGACTAAAAAACACCCTTTATTCATGCTTATGGCCAGAAGGGCCTTACAAGCTTCATCTGAAGCGATCACCCCCCGAGAGGGGGATGATGCGGCGCTGCGTTAGTTTAAACTAGTGCATAGTTTAAAATAACGCAAAATGCGCTTAGAGGACAAGTGCACTCAGATGTGCACTTGAAACGGGAGGGGTTGACCATCCGCTTAACGTGACCTTTTTATACGTGGCGCAACAAATGACCCCACCCCACCTGACAGACCCGTCTTTCCCAGTGGGCACTTTGGGCAAGTGCCCAGGGCCCCGCGATCGATAGGGGCCCCCCTCAGATCAAATACAAAGTCCCTAGTTCTTGTCAGATCACCAAACGATAACCAATATTTATTACCAAAAAACTTATATAATTTTGATGAAATCGAACCTAAATTACTGACTACAATACCAACTTACTAGCTTTTATTTAACTCGCTCCATTTCAAGTCATAACCCACATCAAATTTATAGGGGCCCCATTATCCTAATATGCCCAGGGTCTCCAATAGGTTAAAGACGGCTCTGCCACCTGATGTTAAGTGTAAATGGTGTCCAGTCGCAAAGATAGATGATGAGGCAGAAAGTGTGCCGCTCGAGCCATACTCACCATGCCGGCCTGAACCCAATACCCTACCCACGGAGCTCGGGAACCCTATTCACCAGCAGAAACGCAACACCACCCAAACGTAGTGTTATTTTACTGTAGCATTCCGAAGCACGGAGCACGGAGCTACAGATAATATTTTTTTAACACCCATCCTATGACCGCTCTATACGAAAGTTGCTTAGCTTCCGCTATCGCAGGACAGACGCACTAACCAGTGCACCATACATCGGTACTCCTCAAGTTATTCATAGAGAGGGGACTTTTATTTGACCTGTTTGTAATGTCTCAGTCGTCGTATTGTGGTCTTTTGATTTATTTCAATAGTATTCGCTTGATTTGAGAATATTATTATTACCTACATTTAATTGTAGTTACGACAGCACTCAGATAGGTTAATTATATTGTAAACCATAATAACAGATTAAGACAACATGGCACATTTTTACCAAAGAAAGTGACATCAGTATTTATCTAACTTTATTCAAACTCAAAAATACGTCTCATCTGATAATAATTTATGTTAACAATATCTTTTAAGGTTGTAAAGGAGCACGTAGCACACCTTGAATGTGACAATAGGAAAAAAGCTTAAGCGATACAAGACTCAAACCTAAGGGCCGTCGCACACAAACTCATAATATAATTATTATTATATATTTCAGCTCAGCTAGTGTATTAATTCTACTATTGTGGGAGTCATTCACCATTCGCAATGAATGGTCAATAGAAAGGTGACAAAAAATAAAAATAAAATATCTCCCTCGTACTGTCGCCGTGGCCCTGGCTGCATCTGGACCTGTTGGCTCTCAACCAATACCAGTAATCCGCACTGTGCCCGAGTGATGGTTTATCTCATTATCCTTTTGTAATTCTGTCTAAACGGTGAGCCTGTGACCCAGCCATAAGGTTTATAAATGGTCACATGCAAGTAGTGTACGTCTACATTATTAAAATTAAAATTTCGTTATGATAACATAAAAAAAAATATACTTGCTATCGCATATCTGAAATATAAAGGGAGATCGCAAGCAAAGCTGACTGGCCCAAAATATTTTATGTTCCTACTTATATCAAGCCTTGGTTTTTTTTTTTATATAAAGACAATATCACAGTATTCTTAAGTACTATCGGGTGCCCGGG